CTCTTGGCTTATATCGAAATCCTCCGACATTCTTCTTTACAAATCCTCGTTTTGTACTTCTAATTAGTGACCGTTGTTTTGTTTTGATCTCTCCGCTGCGCTTCCGCGTTTGTCACTTCTGAGCGGTGCATGCGCAAAGCCGACCTCCATACATCATCTGCCCGGAACTGCTTCCGTGTACATCAGTGAGCGCAAGCTACATTAAAGTGAATATTACGTTTTGAATATGGATTTTTTTCTTACAAAAACGCATCGATTTGCTACAGGAGGCCTTTGTTCACCCCCTGGAGCCGTGTGAGACACTTTTGTTCACCCCCCGGAACCATGTGAGACACTTTTTTTTATGGATGGGCGATTTTTATTTAACTTCTTTTGGACTGTTGCATGCAACACCCGCTGAGTGTCATGAAACAGCTTGAAAGATCAAAGAGAATTTTTAATATAACTCCGACTGGATTCGTCTGAAAGAAGAAAGTCATATACACCTGGGATGACTTGAAGGTGAGTAATTTATGGGCTAATTTTCATTTTTGGGTGAACTAACCCTTTAACAATTTCACAACCAACCAATTTGCAATTATTCATGCAGGTTTTTCTGCTTTAAAACAAGAAATAAACCATCTTAAAAATTCAGACACTGATCTGAAGTTGTAATTTATATGCTGCTCATATAGATGTGTGCTTAAGATGTTCTTTAATTTTAATGCCCGACAATGGGGATTTGATTAGAAAGGCCATGACCGGCAAACCCCAATTTTTTGTGAATTGTGAATTTTGCCCCCTGTTATGCCCCCCAAAAATAGTACTGAATTTTATTACAGAAATCGAAAAACATTTTTATCATAGAAGAAGCAAGTCATTAGATGTATGACTTGCTTTTTTACCTCACCCAAAAATGGCAAATTTGTAATCATTTACTCACCCTCAAAATATCTTCTTTTATGTTCCACAGAAGACAGGATGTCATACAGGTTTGGAATAACATGAGGATGAGTAAATCACAACAAGT